TAAGTGGCTTTAAGTTCCCCTTTCTGAGATTAGGGCCTAAAGATACTAGAACGCTGGAGCATGCCCCAACTTCAGGAACGCACGAACACATTTGACTCAAATCAGAACTCATGGGAGCCTATTGCAGACACGGTTCCTTTTGAAACTGGAGTCTGGAATATAATTAAACTCTATCTGAAAATTCACATTCTGTCCACCTGCAGTGTTTTTTACCCCAAGACCAACCTACAGCAAAGTCTTTTCCCCCACAAAACTGTTTGCAACAATTATCTTTTTATCAGCTCTAATGTTTTTATACTTAGCTCTAAATATAGCAATAGATTATCCAGATGAGTCTAGGGCAGACTGTTGCCATTTAAGATCTTTAGATCTGTAAGCTGGTAAACTAACTAAGAAGAACAGAACCATTCTTATTTAACATCTATGTCCTTCGCTCAGTACATTCCACCTACATCCACCCTGAAGTCATAAAAAGAATATTAGAAAGGGCAATCTTGCTGAAAAGATACAAAACAGTGGAAAATGTAGGTGGGGAAGAGAAAAGATTTAGCTATGTATAATTTCTGTGTGCAAAGCATTTCCACAAAACAAGAATGCAGAAAGAGTGCAAAATTCAAAATTCATCAATTACATTTCCCCAATCTGCACAGCTGGCTTTATGGCCCTGCTCTCTGGCCCCTGGGAATTTTTCACTTGAGGAGCTGAGAATCAAACCTGAAAACGTAGCCCTTCCACACTGGAAATCTACCAGTCTTTTTTTTTTGGGGGGGGGGTGTCCATACCACTATAAACCCCTTACTGTTAGATACAGGACTTTAAGACAAATGAGATATGATTGCAAAAATGAATTTACATATTGAAAAGGACATCAAATGACAAAGACAGAACAATTGCTTTTAGCTTCCTTGGACTGGATCAAAGGTCATCAGATAAGGATTTTGAGGGGAGGGGGGAGAAGAAAAGTTCCTACAGGGGTTTATGTGTCGTATATGTCTACAGCACTCCCAGGAATTATCTTTCTGCAGCTTATTTTACATAGAATTCTTACATATCTTACTAATGAGAAAAACCATTGCATTCATTTCAAAGGTTAAAATACTTCTTAAGAGTGTTTCACAGTCTTTCCATGGGAAAAGTTGAAAATAAATCCTCGGAAGAAAATCCCCCTGAATATTCTGAACCCCGACTAGCAAGCACCCTTCAACTGCCCCTATTTGAGTGAGTGGCAGACCGCAAAATCCAACCCCATATAGAAACATAGAAACAGAGCGAGTCAGAAGGGGCTTCCCGGGCCATCTAGTCTGACCTCCAGCACCAGCCAGCTCTGCTCATGACATGCTCACCATGTGGACGTCCAGCCTATCCTTGAACACCCTCACAGATGGGACCTCAACCACCTCCCGTGGAAGCCCATGCCACACCCTCAGGGTCCTGACTGTCAGGAAGTGCTTCCTGGCATCCAAATGGAACCTGGGTTCCCTGAGCTTTGCTCCGTTGGAGTGCATCCTGCCTTCCTCTGCAGGGGAGAACAGGTCTCTACCCATCTCCATGTGACATCCCCTCACATACCTGCATGTCGCCAACATATCCCCTCTGAGTCTCCTCTTCTCCAGGCTGAAGAGACCCAGTTCCCTCACTCTCGCCTCATACCCCATCCCCTGCAAACCGGCCACCAACCTTGTGGCCCTACGCTGCACTGACTCCAACCTGGCTATATCCTTCCTGTAATGAGGGGCCCAGAACTGAACACATTAATCCAGTTGCGGGCGCACCAGACTCATATAGAGTGGTAGTAATACCTCTCCTGATCTAGAAGCCACACTTCTGGCTATGCAACCAAGGGTGGCGTTCGCCCTCTTGACCACTGCATCACACTGCTGACTCATGTTTAGCCTGCAGTCAACCAGTACCCTGAGGTCCCTTTCACAAGTGCTGCTCTCCAGCCGCTTGTCACTTAACCTGTACTTATGACACCCATTCCTATGCCCCAAGTGCAAGACCTTGCACTTATTCACATTGAACGCCATCCTGTTGTCTCCTGCCCACCTGCTCCTCAGTTGTGGCCACTGCTCCAGTTTTAGTGTCGTCTGCGAATTAGATCAGCCGACTGTTCACCCCTTCTTCCATGTCGTTAATGAAAAGTTTAAACAGGATCGGCCCCAGGACAGAGCCCTGGGGGACACTGCTTGTCACTGGCTGCCATCCTGATGATTCCCCGATAACAGTTACCTTCTGCTTTCGGTCAGTCAACCATGCCCTAATCCACTGGACAGTGCTTTGGTGTATCCCAAAACTCCTCAGTTTCTCCACCAGGATATCATGGGGCACTTTGTCAAAGGCCTTGCTGGAATCCAGGTATACCACATCCACTGCATCCCCTCCATCTAGCCATCTCGAAACCTTGTCATAGAATTCCACAAGGTTTGTCTGGCAGGACCTGTTTTTGCGGAAGCCGTGTTGTGTGGCTGTCAGCCTCCTTTCCCTATCTAGCATCACTAGATCTCTCTCTATTATGAGCCTTTCCATCGTTTTTCCAACAATGGACGTAAGGCTAACCGGTCTATAATTCCCCATCTCCTTTCTACTACCCTTTTTGAAAATTTGGACCACTGATGCCACCCTCCAGTCCTCTGGAACTTCACCCGTTCTCCACAAGGTCTCAAAAATGGAGGCCTGCGGGCATGAGAGAACCCCTGCCAACTCTCTAAGTACTCTCGGGTGTAACCCGTCAGGGCCTGGCACCTTTGTAATGTCCAATGCCCTGAGGAGCCCCTCGACTTCAAGGAGGGTGACCCTAATCTGTGCCCCTAAGTCCCCAGCCTCATCTAATCTCCTATGCGGATATCCCCCGTCCTGCTTTGGGGAGAACACAGAGGCAAAATAGTCATTTAGTATCTGTGCCTGTTCCCTCATATCAGTCACTGGATCTCCTTCCTCCTTTTTTAGTGGTCCCACCACTTGTCTCCCCTTCCTCTTCCTATTTACATGCTGAAAGAAGCCCTTTTTGTTGCTTTTGATATTCTTGGCAAGTCTCAGCTCATAATCAGCCTTAGCCTTGCGAAGAATCCTTCTGCAACGGGCCTCCTCCTCCTGGTATACCCTTTTGTCTATTTCCCCCAGTACCCATTTCCTACGGAGGTTCCTCTTTCGTCTAATCCCTTTAACCACCTCCTTTTGCATCCATGGCAGCACTCTCCTCCACCTCCCCACCTTACTGACTAGAGGTATCATCAAGGCTTGCGCCTCCAAAACCTCCCTTTTGAGTGCCATCCACCCCTCCTCAACTCGCTTACCTTCCAGTAACCTATCCCAGGAGACTCTCCCCAACCTGGCCTTCAGTTGGCCAAAGTTGGCCCTCTTGAAGTCCCAGCTTCTAGTGCTCGACCTGCTGCATGTCCCCAGTCCCCTGATCTCAAAGCAAAGGATGGAGTGATCACTCGCATCCAGAGCTCCCCTAATCTGTACTTCATCTATCAGCTCCTCCCTATTGGTCAAGACCAAATCAAGGATGTTTCCCCCTCTCGTCGCCTCTCGGACCCACTGTGTGAAAAACCCTCCCTCTATAGCTTCTAGGAAGCAACATGACCTGGCTGTCACCGCTGAGTGAGTCTCCCAAGTAATATCCGGGAGACCGAAATCTCCCATAATTACTGTGTCTCTCCCCCGAGATATCCTTAGAATCTGGCCTGTCAGGACATCATCCAGGGTCTCAAGTTGACCTGGAGGGCGATAACATACCCCCACTGTCAGGTCTCTTTCCCTGTCAAAGCCCCTAAGTTTCACCCAGACTGCCTCTACCGAATCCCCATCTGTGCTGCATTCTATCTCACTGCATCCTATCCCTTCCCTGACGTATAAAGCCACGCCCCCACCTCTCTTTCCCTTCCTGTCCTTTCTAAAAAGGTGATACCCTTCTATATTCACGTTCCAGACTTGCCTTTCATCCCACCAAGTTTCTGTGATTCCCACCAGATCATACCCTCCTATTCCCAGCAGAGCTTCAAGCTCTTCCTGCTTATTACCCATGCTCCTAGCATTGGTATACATGCACCTCAACTCCTTCCCACCGCTTATGCACACTTGTGGCATTTTATATGATACAAATACAATCCCTTTATTTCTTAAAAAGGTAAAGTTAAAGGTTTCCCCTTGACATTAAAGTCCAGTCATGTCTGACTCTAGGGGGCAGTGCTCATCTGTTTCCTAGCCAAGGGAGCCAGCGTTTGTCCACAGACAGCGTCTGTGGTCATGTGGCCAGTATGACTAAACACCAAGGTACACGGAACCGAATTGGTACCTTTTCATCTACTTGCATTTGCGTGCTTTCGAACTGCAAGGTGGGCAGGAGCTGAGACGGAGCAACAGGAACTCACCCCGTTGTGCAGATTTGAACTGGTGACCTTTCGATCAACCAGCCCAGCAGCACAGTGGTTTACACAGCGCCACTTTTATTTCTTACAGCTTCGCAAATCCTTTTACTTATAAGCAAGCACTGAAAGAATAGGGAAAGACATCTACCTGCACTGTAACACTTTAACTTTCCTTATTGGAAGCAGGCGCAGGATCTGTAAAGCGCATGAAGAGGTAAATAAATACACATTAAGCAAACGTAATGGTAAACATCTTTCCCATGATTCATGTGTTTCAAACTTTGTGAACAGCATTTCCACATTAGAAAACCATTTATCTATAGTCATTTCCAGAACACTTTTCTATACTCTTTCAAAAAATAAACATGGAGAAATCCCAAAATTTTTCCCATGAAACAGAACTGATTTACTCAGCTAAACTACAAGCATCTATACACCCAAATGTTTGCTTCCCTTCTACACCTCTGTGATAAGTAAGCGAACCGCTTCCCAAATGACAGCCGACCTACGTACCGCCTTTCCAGATGCCAGAGAATGCAAAGATTAGAAATTCAAATCCAGCGGGCATTTTTGTAGGGTCGCCCCAATCACACCTACCTCAGTTGATTGTTTATTTAATGTTTAGGATACATTTCTTCAAAGTAGTCAATGTGTGGTGGTTGGAGGATGTCGAGAGCAGAGAGTACCTAGGGAATAAGAAGGGAGTTGAGTAGATTATTTGGAGCACAGGAATGATCCTTACCAAGACAACTGTAAAAACAGAGGCTGTGCATTTCGTAGCAGGGGAGGGTGCTAGGTGCAACACTGAAGGGGAACCCTATGAAGAAAAAGGACCCTACTGATATTTGACTGAAATAGAAAAAAGGAGAAATGAGGTTTCAGGCTTGGAACTTCAACTTGCAATCTGAAAAAGCAATAACTCGCACGCCCTGCGGTGTTTCCATGCTTAATGCCCTCAAGAGTGGGAGGGCTTCCCTGCATCCAGAAACGGGTACCAAAAATCCAAGCCCGGATACATCGTCCAACACAAGACATTCACAACCAACAAGCAATCTACAGGATGTAAAGTAAATGGCCAATTCTATCATACATAACTCAAAAGTTGTGTTTAAATCAACAAGGTTTTCATCCAAGTGAATGTAAAGTCTTCAGCCTACTCCATACTGAAGGCTCTGCAGTCAAACAGTAAGTGTAAAATAAATTAAATATCTAAATAATTAAGAATTAATTATGAGTCACTGGGAGGAGGAGCCCAAGACAGGCTCTGTTCACTTACAAGATGATTACTCAGCCACATTAATTAATTAAAAGCTTCTTTTTCATATGCAACTAAGAGTTTCAGACACTGAAGCCTTTCCTGTAGGAATCCCTTTGAAAACTATGCAATCTAAACACACCACCCAGATGCATACCAGTTGACACATAATTGGACAAACACTAGCCATCTGTTAACTGAAAGAACCAAGAAAGACTAGCAGGAGCTTTCCAACAAGTAACACTTCAAATAGATCCCTTGCAGTTTCTTACACAGCTTTCCTAAAGATCACAGCCCACAATCTCTTTGCTCTGACCTTCTTGGCAACAATTTCCTGAAAGTGTTTAGCTTTTTGCTGAAGGTCGTCCATTCTATTACACTTTAGCATTTGCAACTGGCCTTCCTCCTTCCTTGTAATAAATGGAGGATAGTAGACATTCCAGTGAGGTGTGTTAATCCCTATTATTAACAGTATCCCCCTTTCCCCTAAATTTGTTTGAAGGTACTAGATTCCCTTTTAAAATGGACTGCAGAAAGGCTATTTCAAAATATACTCCCCTATTTTGAGAAACTAATGTATCCAGGAAAGATGCAATAGCTTTATTTAAGCAGAATAAAAAAAGCCCTCTCTTTAAAGCAATCTATTGACACAGTTCAGAATCTGGCTTAGTTGTAAACCTGATTAGCCTCAAACAAGACTAATACTGCCAGCAACAAGCTGTTGACCCTGCATAATGGGACAAGGGGTGCATCTTTCCAGGCTGGCTCTTGATCTGCCAAATTAGTCTGGAGTTCGTGTTCGGGACAAACTGGGTGAAATGAAGTTCATAAGGACAAGTTCTCTTTGAAAATCTTACAATTATATTAGGCTTGATTTATACTAACATTTGTGCATTTTCAGGGCTTACTCCTGCACCGATTTACTCTTTAGTGGAAACAGTCCCACTGCTAAAGTGCAACTGAGATGGTTGGCATTCCTGCCTCCGCCACCACAGAGCTATTAGAAGGCAGTTGGGGCTTCTGTGCATGCCTTCGTCAGGGCCCTAATGAGGGGAGAAGGACAGAAAGAAGTAAAATAATGTTCGCATCCATCTGATGACACACATGTTCTCTAGAGAAGTTGGTTTCGCACCTGCTCTGCCGCAAAATACATTGCACACCAAGGTCTTGTATATAACCACAACAGGAGTGCCTGCGTGAGCAAAAAACAGTAAGATCCTGTTGTCATTCCTGAGATGCTTGAGAGGTTCCTGCTTGGAGACTCCACTGAACATTGTCTTTGCTGATGATATACATCACTGTAAATGCTATTTCCTAAGCAACACACAATTTGAACACTCTTAAGGTCAAACAGGTAAATGTAGTTGGCCTCATCCCACATTGCTGGTTCTGGTAAACAACCGCAGCGGCACTGTCTGTAGCCATTGGTTTTTGCCGGCCTCCAAACTCAGTGCTGAAAGCTGTTGGTACTTTCCAAATCACTGGAAACATGAGATCATTGATAAGGCATGTTTTCTCCTGGACTGACCATGGTCCTGGAACTATCAGTGCTCCATACCACGCTCCCCAGCCAATCAGGAATGCATTGTGTCTGGTGAGGGCAGGCAAAAATAAAGATACACCCTCCCAGAGGATGTCATGGGTGTCATGCCTCTGGCATCTGATGTGGGCAAGAGAGAGCAGTGTGCTGTTCCTCTGGAGGAGTGCCTCTCCCACTGAGCCCTGCCAGATGCCTGCCCTGGAACAGAAGCAGGGGCACCTTGAGGAGAGTCACAGTCAATGTGTGTGAATGTGCAGAAGGCCTCCTGAAGGACGACAGTTACACCTGCAACCTCTTCAGCTGCCATGGTGGCTGCCCCACAAGTAGCTTCTCTCATCTTTCAGACTACTGGCTGAAGTTGTGTCCTCTCTGGATCTTAGCTGCTCTCATTCATCTTCCTGTCTCCTTTGTTTTTACCTGCTGTTCTTCTTTATTTGCAATCTCTTGATTACCTGGATGTCATGAAGGCATATGGTCCGACTCAGTTGGCTCCTCCTCCTCCTCTGACCAAAGAACTGGGTGAGTCTATTGGGAGACCTCTCCATATTCCTCAGTTGAAGACTGTCACTCTGACTCACAGACCCTGTGTTGATCTACATCCTGGAGAGACAGAGGACTGGACCGGAAGACCTGAGCTAGGTCCTGGTATTCCTCTGCAAGAGGGAGTCCATCTTCTCTCAGAGGAACATCTGGTACTGCACCATGGTAGTCTTGTAATTAGATATACAGAACTCCAAGGCCACTGAAGCATAGATGGGGCTGATGACCACCTTTATCCGCAAGTGTTGCGTTCCCTCTGCGTCCAGCCCTGGGCCAGCTCCACAATGGCTGAGTTTAGTCTTGGTGTTGTAGCAGGATCATCCATTCTTGGATCTGGTACATCTCCCTCAAATGTGTTGATGTTGGTTGCAGGTGCATCAGTGTCTTTCACATCTCCTACACGTAGCTCAGAGAAGGAAGGAATGGGGTTGACACCGTTGGAGGATCCACAGCCCTTTTTGTGTGATGATGCATCTCGGAAGCCAGGGACGTCGCTGTCCGGAGTATCTGTTCGGAGAAGCATCCCAAGTCTTTGGAGGTGGATCCTGCAGAAGAAAATCCAGGGGCACCCACAATTGTGGTTGGAAGAAAACTGAGAAAAGGGAAGGAAGGGAGGAGTTCTTGCCAGAACAAGTCCAGCATGGAATTCTTCCTGGCAAGTGGTCCCAGACAGGTGCAGAGCCCGTATATGGGATGCACAGAGCCCACGAAGAACTGAACAAATCCTCTAAAGACATGTGCACTGGGACAGTGGCGGGGAGGGTTCCGCCACCAAAAATGTCTCAACTATACAGACATGGAGCCCACACATGTGATGCACAGAGACTGTGAAGAAGAACTCTAGGGACTCGCTTGCAGTCCCCTCCAAGCTGAAGGTGCAGTGGATGAATGCTGGATGGTTTCACGACAACCCTTGGTGATATTCCTGCAGGTTTAGCCACGAGTCCTGACAAGTCGGTCCTAGTTTTCACTTTTGTAATGAGATGACCCAGTTCTTGATACAAATTCTCAAAGGTCTTCAGCACAGCTGTAGCACTATACAAGCTCTCTGGTATTGGTGTGCGTGCGTGCGTGCATGGAGATAATGACATGACAGAGTTGATGATTAGACTGCAAGTAGGGAAAGACCACGAGTACGACTGACACAGTTAAGAATCCATCTTCAGTTTCCTATACTCTTTCAAATCCATCTTTACCACCACCACAGCACCCACTCAGAGTTGTCCAGTGTGACCCTCTGGGGTGGTAGAGAGTTTTTTCAAGTAGATGGTAGAAGAAACACCTTGAAGCTCTCAAAAAGCCCACCACTTTGCTGGACATTTTGAAAACAGAAGTACTCATATCCATGTTGACTTAGACGTCACTGTTCTAAAAGAATTGGGTAGATGGGACCTGAATCATATATAGAAAAAGATGTGGGGGAGGGGGTAAAAAGGAAATGAACAAAGCAGAGTCCTAGGGCAAGCCCCACGGCTCCAATACACCTAGAACTGCTTCTGTCGGTGGGGTGGGAAGGGGGATGCAAACCCAGTAACACTTATCCAGATGATGTGAGGTATTCCTGTTTAAAGATGAGAAAAATGCAAGTTGTATTTTTACCATCACTGGGGACACCACGTCTGTTTTCTCCTTTTGAATCCAGTCATTATTTATCAAATATAGTAAAAGTTTGTTCACATTAGTAACTTTCAGAAAATACAACACAAATTAATGCAGTCCACTAACACTCTGGTTAAAAGCCTAACATAGATCAACCCTGACCAAACAGATGGGGATTTATGTGGCTTAAGCGAGCTGTTCTGCTAGGTTGGGGTGAGCACACGAGAAGCTTACAGGACCTGTTTGTTTGTTTCTGCCACCACCCACCAACCAGAGACAACTATAAAGTCCGAGAGCTGGATCCAGGCATCATTATGATTAGAATCAACTCACTGAAATCAATGAGACTTATATTGGTCCTGACTAAATTAAGTCTCCTTTATTTCAGCAGGCCTATTCGAAGCATAACTACATCGGCATACAACCCATAGGTTTAGCACTGAAGCATTTTCAGTCCAGTTTTGAATACGAGAACTAACCCTTCCACACAGAATTCTACCCACAGTTATTCTCAGCTCCAATTCCAGCACTTCCCTTCCCTTCTTTTTCTTTCTTTTTTTTGGGTGGGGGTGGGTGGGTCAAGCCATTTTGTTGTTTGGACTCTTGAACTGGAGCTGGGGAGTTTTCTACTCTCATATAAAGCATCCAGCTATTCACTAGTAGATCCTATGCCATCTTGTTCATTTGATCAGTATCCTACCAAAAGAATGCACTCAAAGTGCATCCTACCTTCTGCCAAACCCTTATTCAAAATTAATCAAGTAAAACTGTCACCATTCAGAGACACCCCCCCCCCGGCTATATTTCTGAGATTTTGTTCTAAAAAATAAGCATATTTTGCTTTAAACAAAACCCAACAATATGCAGATAATGTTCACTTCTAATTTTATTATTATATTTATATCTCACCCTTTTTACTACAAGTAACCCAAGGCTTTTCTGCTTTTGATTAGTCAGAGCTTGCTGTGCCATTCAGATGAAGAACTGTGGTCAAACATATCTATTGCAAAGTTTGAACAAGCCAGTTCCAAAGCTATGTGTTGGAGTTAGCTCATTTGAAGCAAACTACACTTAATGCTAACCTTAGTTTTTCAATCCAGATGACACGATATCATCACAGTCAAGCAAAAATGGAAGTGAACTATTCTTACCCACACAGGAAGAAGAGGAGAAGAGGGAAGCACACAAGCCTAGAAATGTGAAGGCCCGAGAAAAGCACTGATTTTTTTCTCCCAAGAACTTTTTATTTTGTCTCTCCAAAATATGAAAATATGAACAATTTTGGATTATGAAATATTTTATCTTAGAAGGATGAATAAAATGTTTAAGACAAGGCATTCATGCATTTCTACCAGGCTTTCTAAAATGTAACTGATATGAGGAATTTTATACAAGCATAGAGAAGGAACATTGCTGGAAATGTTAAAGTCATAAGAGAAAAAAGCTTTTCACAGCTAAGGAAGCACTTTGAAATAGTGAGGAATGTTAGAAACTTAATTAAAAGCCATGAAAGTGAGTTCTTTTGAAAGCAGAAACATGGGTGGAATAACATGTGGTGGCAGTATTAGGATAACATCCAGGTTCTATAATATATGGGTTTTGGAATTATATTCATCGACTGCTATGGCATCTAACCATAACAAGCCCAGCAACTTAGAACAAAGCCTAAACTGTGAAGAACACCTCTTAACACATTATAGTGACATATACTTTGAGAAACTGAAAAAGATTTGGAGCATCCCTAAAGGCCTAAAGATGCAGTAGATTAATAATTTTAACAGGGAGCGGGAAAATGGTTACCTGATAGTTAACATTTAAAGAGATTTAAAGAAGCATGATATAGGCACGGAACTGCCCCACCACTAGAGGCAACCTTTCAAAACCAACCAGAATTTGAAAGATTTTGATGACGGGATAAAATGTCACTCTTCAAACAGCAAATTCAGATTGCTTAAAGGTCCTTAAATTAAATATGTTTGGTTAATATTCCAAGTAAGAGAGTCTTTCCAGCTAGCAAGAGTTTTCAGCAACTTTCCCTCTGGACCAGAATCCCCTACCCGCCACTCAAGTCAATTGGTTACGAACAGGAGCAAGTGCTGCATACCAGGCTTCCCTTGCCTCCTACTCTTCCTGCTTCTTTGGGCTTCTATGATGCTCGGGGACTACCCATTGAAGTTAGCGCTAGACAGACATAAAGCAAGAACTTAAAATGTATTATAATTTGATTTACTCATTAAATGATCGTGCTCACTATAGTAAAGTTTATTCGGACAATTACAAGTATATTGAGTTTACTTTTAAATATTTTTTACTCGTTATTTTATGAGAAAACCAAGTTATACACAATACATATTATGTCCTTAAGTGGTTTTAGAGCTGTAAAGCCTGCCAAACAAGCATTGCCCATTTAAATTTTCTCCCAATTTTTGGTTTTTCAAACTCCCAGTTTTGGCCATTGGCGCAAAAGTTGCAAAAATTTTGCATTTTTCCGGAAGGCAGAGACTCACTTGAGCCATTAGCTCTATTTCTGTCTGAGAAAAGGGAGGGTGTGAAGTGCCCTTTGCACACGGCCCTAAGGGCATTTACTACATGCCATATGCGAGCAGTAAAAGCAAGTCTGATTCAACATGATCATGGTCCTTGAAGAACTTTAGTCTCAGTTGGAAGTAAAATTTATCAATAGGAAGATGTAGGCCACTTACATTGTCGTGCTTAAAAAAACACAACATCTTCAATTCACGGAAGACCCTTTTGCAAGAGACCAGATTTTGGAAGACGTTGGGCATCTTTTTGAGTGCAACTCTCTTTCCATCTCGTGGATCTGTTACTGACCTGAAGAAGAAAAAGGATATTTTATTTATGTATTTATTTATTATATTTACAGCCTACTGTTCTTCCTCTTGCAAGGAACTTAGGAAGGTTTATATAAACTTCCTCTCCTTTTTATCCACGCAACAACTCTATGAAGTAGGTTAGGCTGTGAGCCGGTGGCTGACCCAAAGTCACCCACTAAGCTTAATGACTAAGTGTGGACTAGAAACCAGATCTCCCAATTCCCAGTCCAACAATCCACTGCGCTGCACTGGCTCTGAGCATTAAATCTGGTTTTAAACAAAGTTTTCCCCTCCCACCCTAAAGAATACTTTGGTTAAAGTATTTTTGAAGATGGAACTGGATCAGTCAAAGCAGCAAATCTAGACAGCCAAGCAGAATTCCTACACAAGTCTTGCGGCATTTCGTTCAGCATGTTGAGCGAATTCCATCTGTACGTCAGGCAGAGTACAAGCCTGCATTACTCAACTATGAGACTGCTGTGCACTCAGGAACTTGTGTCATGCATTAGTAAAACTGTTCACTTCAGCAGTACAATGTTATTTGATGTCCAATCAATACATGGAAGAATCTGTTTACTTACATTTTCATTTTCTTCTCTTTAATTACTCTATTACTTCTAGGACACCTTCACCATTACAAGCCACGGAGTATAGCCAATACTGAGCTTTGCAATATTAAATGGCTATAGTGCGTTGCTTGCTAACAAGGTTAATTCTGTATGGAACCACTCAAAACAGTTGCTCCTTCTGCTGCAGATGAGCCTGCAGTGAGCATCAGCTGGCAGTGATGACTGTTTCTGGATTACACTGAGTGGTGGCGAAGGAGCTTGTGAGGAGGACACTGGCCCAGCACACAATCATGGAGGAAAAATAAGATATGGTGGCTTAGTCCTGCTGTTCCTGCCGGTGCTGATGAGAGATAGGCATAATTACTCTTGGCAGAATGGTGTGCTGCATCCTGCCAACCTAGGCAGGGTAGCTAGGCATGGGTTCTGGGTGGTTTTTTACCTGTGGAAACGAACCACCCTGGCTGGCTTTGCCCCACCCTACAAGTTGCATGGCTGAAGATAATGTCACTAATCCATCCAGCGTTGTGTTTACTTGGTGCAATGAATGTGTGAATCTAGTCCCTACATCACTCTCGTGCCTCAATTCTTCTTGGAAGCTTTCCTCCATCTGTGAAAAATGCTGCATTTCCTATCTAATAATGAAGAGCTTAATTTACTGCTCAACAAATACACTGAATGGCCTGGGAGCCATACAAATGGCCACCAAGCACTGGCTAACTCTCCTGGAACACACTAGGCTGCCTTATACTGAGCCTGCATGCAGATAAGCAGCTTCCCAAGTTTTCACACATTGACATTACACAGACCTTCCCGGAGATGCCAGAACTGGACCTGAGTACCCCCATACAGGAAAGCAGGAGCAAGACTACTGAGTTCTGGCCCTTCCCCCTTGGGAACACCTCCTACAATGTGTTGGACTGGTGAACCAACTAAGGAATAGGGTTCTGCAAAAATGGTACACGTGCAAATACCAAGAACAGTGACAACCAACTCAGATGCTAGCGCTCAAAAAGCAAGGATAAGACCATTTTTGTCAGCAAGTGCCACACCTCCTTCACAACCAAATCTGTGTCTATGTATTTTTCCACTGGGAATTGTTTCAAATGCAAGGTTGGAAACATCTCTGTCGTCTGTTTGTCCAGGCACCTAGAACATTTGAAATGATTTTCTCTCCAAAAACTGAGTGCTAGCTCCCCCCACCACCCCCAACAACAACCAAAAAATAAATTTCCATCTGCATAGAGGCATAAAGCAGTGTGCAGAGAGGATCAATTAAACATGTCTTGGGAAAGTCCCAGGTTCTACAACAATAAGAAGCTGTTTTGAACAGGAAAGAAGGAAGACTGAGGCGATTTCTGTTTGATAAATTTATCTGTCATTGCCTATATAATCTGCTATACCAGCTCAATATTTGATAGTGACTCAACACACTTTTCTCCCAAACTGTTATTAACTGAATTCTCCTTTGCTTGTTTTAAAGTTTCACTCTTTTGGATTTTGAAGAGATATAAAAGTCATATTTATGGGACAGCTGCTCAAATACACCCAAGTACTGGGCTGTGGTTTGTCAAAATTGCAAATTTAAAACAAAATCAGAAAGCAATATTTTGTTTAATTATTCATATAACAACTAGCCATGCTTGTAGCTAGTAGCAAAATAACCCTAATGAATGTGAATGACGATGTGCTAATTTCATGCCATGTTGAGTTTGTTCCCTCTTAACTCAGGGTAGCAGCTGCTTTGGTTCAGTACAAATAGTACCAGAAAACAGAGATAAGTGCTGAAGCCTTTTACACAGGAATGCTTTTATTTTCTTTGTTGTGGAAAGGGCTTGCTGTGCTGAGCTCTTCTGCCAGTTATCCCTTCTGTATGAGCTAATGAGTTGCAGTCGGTAAAGATAACAGAAAACTCTGACAGTACCTTCCAATGCTTCATTTTTAAAGGAGGCCATTCTAACAAATCTAAACAGAGTGATTAAAAAAAGCTTTACAGCATAAACAGGACTATTAGACTACTCATCCAGAATTAGATGCTTACTATGGAGTTGTGCAGAGAGGGGGAGACATAAATGAGTTCTAACTTTTTATAGTACTTATGTGCATGGAAAATTAATTTGCTCAGCGCGCGAGAGAGAGAGAGAGAGAGAGAGAGAGAGAGAGAGAGAGAGAGAGAGAGAAAAGGAACATGACACCTGAAAGGCTAATTGGTTTACAGAGGCATGAGCTTTTGTAGGCAACAAGCTGCATGGGATGTTTCATATGTCGGACATAACACACCAATGCCAGCTTTGGCTGCACGGCTATTTATGCGGCACGATCAATTAGCATTTTACACAGTAACAGAAGCAAAAAGCTAGAAGTGATAAGCAAGCTATATTTTGACCAAGAAGACAACAACAAAAGGAGCCGTCTTTACAGTGCAAGTACGTATACCACTTTGAGCAACATGTACATGGATTTTGTTTCGGCAGAAAAGAATGGACTAACAGGTTAAGGCAAAAGCTTTGTGGGTGCTAAGACTTTGAAAATGCACGTCAGAAGGCTAGTGGTAATGCTCTGCAAGAGTGGAAAGAACAAGGTACTCAGGCCACTATAAGCTGAATACAGATCACAACATCACCATCAAGCATTTCATTCTTCCCATCCCTTTGTGCCCAAGTGAGGTTGCTTCTCAGCTTACAGTACCTTGTGAGAACAGGGGCCAGGGATGGAAAGAAAGGACTGCACAGATACTCGTTGTAATGTTAATCTATACATGCTCACAAAAGGACACTAACTGCACCATAAGGCGAGAAGAGGAAGGAGAAAACTTAAGCAAAGAACAAATGAGGTCCACTAAATTCTCCCCCCATCACACCTCCTCCCTCCCTCCCTCACACACAGAGTTTTAAAGCAATGGCACCATCCTGCACCAATTTATTACTGCTTTGATATCTAAACCCAGGCATTTAACTCCACCAAGTTTGTTTGTCGGGTTAAAAACCCCAAGTTAAATCCACAAACAATCCCAAGTGGCTGGGTTCAGCTGCCAGGTAAACAAGTTGTATCTTGGAAAAGGATTTATGGTTTTATCTGTTTTTCCCAAAACCACACACACACACACACACACACATCATTTGGATAGCTCCAAAATACATGTGCTGCTTTGTCAAGTAGCCTATTCCTACAGTGTCCCAGACATTAACCAACCATTCCAAGACTGCTGGACCCTGCATCACTTTCCCATTTTGAGCCCAGTTCCTGTTTGCAGCAGCCTACAAATTTTTCAGATGCCTATAACATTCTGAGAAGCCTCTTCCATACCAGGGGACAGCGAGGTCGATTGTTTATATGCTTAACTTAACTATTATCTGAAAAAAAAAAATTGCAGAATAGCACAGGCCAGAAAGCAGAACGTCCATTTCTAAAAGAACAAGACCACCACCACCCTGCTTTTTTTCTGGACTTATCTCCCTATTTTGATATATACATACCCACTTTTAGAATCAGGTGCCACAAGTGAAACAAGTATTGGAAGAGTTGGCAAATGGTCATGGATTTATCTTTGTAACAATTGCTACAACATTAAAAATGACTTGTTAATCCCTAAATACTATAATCCATAATACTATACTATACTATAATACTATAATGTTGAGAAGAGGCCAGGAGTGTGGTATCATTCATGGTAAAAACTGCTATTTCCAAGGTAAGCTTTAAGCATAAACTATTAACATATTTCAATACAGATATGAAACTACACATTTTCATTATGATATATAAGGTTGGAGACAGCCAGCAGGGCCTAATTACTGTACAAAGTTCAAGTATTATGCATAAGATAAGTGTGTGCATTTGGAAGTATTGTTTTATTGCCTCTCAGTAGTTTAACAGCCAATGATTTAATAAGTAGCGAACTTCCAGGAACAGCTGGCATGTGCCAACTTTCACATGGTATCAGCATTCAGGACAGAAGAAAGACACCCTGGAGGCCGTGTATTCCAACTGGGTCCACAATGAAGGATACAACTACAGCACCCTCTGCAACAGATAACTGCTCAACCAAGTTTATCTCAAGTTGCACCAACCCTCATTCAGGCGAGCTATCAGGAAAAGTTTCCTCGCTGTCAGAGAAATAAGGCAGTGGAACCAGCTGCCTAGAGAGGTGGTGGGCTCTCCCACACTACAGACATAGAAACTGGACAGCCATCTGAGTGGGATGGTGCTACTTGGTGTCCTGCAACAGCAGAGGGTTGGACCCGAGGGCCTTCTTGGCCCTTTCCAACTCTGCTGTTCTACGATTCTGTGATCTTCAGACCCCTAATCACCCTTCTTGAGGATGGGGTACAGCAAGCCACAAACATCTGGTCCTCTGCTCGCTTCTTAAAGCAGCTGCATGCAAAGGCTCCCCCTCTGGCTCCCCTTATTCGCTCACTTCCTGTTTCCTATG